TATATTCATGAGATTGTTTCTCCAAATGATTTGCTATTATTTTGTCTAGCTTAATAAAAATACTCCTTTGGTAGTTTGATTGATAAAGCACTAAGTCTATACTAATTTAGGTAGTATCACCATTATTAAATTGTCATGTCCCAACCATGAACAATAACTATCCTTCCAATTATTTACCATTCTTTATTTCTTTATAGAGTGCTTTGTTAGTATATTTATATTAGTTTAGTTACTCAGGTCTTGTGTGTGCCTTGGTAAATGATGCCCATATATCTTAGAGAATTTTTAAAGGAATTATCTTTTTTATTGTTTCCTTTTGCATTTTGTTTTTGCTATAAAGAGGTGTTGATGGTTTTTTGGATTTACTTTTGTATACTGCTACTTTACAGAGGTTATTTATTGTCTCATATGGTTTCTTTGCTGAATTTCTGGGGTTTTCTAAGTAAATCATCATGTCATTAGCAAATACATATGCTTTCGTCTCCTTTTGCCTAATGCTTGTGTTTTTAAGTTCTTTCTCTTGTCATATTGCTATCATTATCTTCTTATATTTGTCAAATAATAGTGGATAAAAGAGGCATTTTTTCTTTTACTCTTATTTCTTAGGAAAAATTCTGGCATCTCCCAATTATAAGTAATTCTAGCTTTTGGTTTTAGACACATACACATATGTTTATATATTTTTATTTTGTCTATCTAGATATGTACATATCCTTTTAAATTACATCAAAATTACCATTCTCTGCCTATAGATTGTAGGGTTTTTGTAATAAATGACTATGCTTTGTAAAAGATTCTTGCTGCATCCATTTATAACATTATGTGATTTGGTGTGTTTTTGTTTTCATTTTTTTTAAATGATAATTTTTTCCCTAATGTTGAACCATTTTGTATACCTCTTCTAAGATCTTACTTGGTCATCGTTGGGGGACATTTTATATATTGCTGTAGTTTTTTGCTAGGTTTTCATTTTAAAATTTTTCATTGACAGTCATTTGTGATACTGATCTATATTTCTCTTTCTTTGCTTTATCCTTCCCTGGTTTAGTTATCAGGACAGTTATTCATCTCATGAAAGGAGATGGGTGGAATGTTTTATTTTTTTATTTTTGAGAATGATGTGTATGGCATACTATTAATTGCTCTATAAATTTTTGATAGCCCATTAATCTGCCTGACTCAGGGTTTTTTTCTTTGATCTTTCCCTTATAGATGCTTCATTTCATTTTCTTAGAGTGGGCTGTTTAAGATCTCTAGTATTTTCTGTTAATTTGAATTATTTTATGTTTTGTAGGTAATCATTCATTTTTCTTAAATTCTCAGTTTTACTAGCATATTGTATACCATTATATGTATTTAGTAGGTTATAAGAATTTAAAAAACCCAACAAAAACCTTATTATGATGTTGACTTATAATTTTTGTTTTATTAATTTAATTTCTTCCATCTTTTGATCAGGTTAAAGGTATATTGGTACTGTTATTCTTTTTAAAGAACCAGTTTTTTATTTTATTTATCAGTTTGATATCTTTTGTTTTCTACTTTTCTATTTGTCTACAAATTCTTAAAATGTTCTCTTTTTGTGTTTATTTTGTATTTGTTCATTTTCCAGGTTTTGGAATTGGATATTCAGTTTGTTAATCCTTTCTTTTTCTGTTTTGTTAATATATATTTTCAGAGATTTTTCCTCTGAAGATTTCTATAGCTGTATCCCAGAACTTTTGTTATGTTGACTCATAATTTTCATTTGATTCCCACATTCCATATTATTATTATTTCTGTGACTTACACATTATTCAGAACATTATTATTAAGTCTCCATTTAGACGTGTATGTTTTGCTTCCCTCATCGCCAATATCTAATCAGCTGTCAAATTTTGCTAAGTCTTAATTCAACTTCCACAGGAACTCATATGTCCTTTACGTTTTCTCCGTTCACAGAGCCATCACTCTGCTTCAATGCCTCATCACCTCTCCCCCTGAGCCACTGCAGTGGCCTCCTTATTGGTTTTCCCATCTCCAGTCTCTCCCCATCTTTTACATAGCTGACAGCTAAAAGTTATATTCCTAAAGTGAAGGTCTCAGGTCTGACAGTGTCACCCCCATACTCAAAAACTAGAGGTTTAAACTAGAGGATAAAATACATACACCTCTAGTTTGGTAGTTAAAGCCCTTTGTAATATGTCTTCAGCTTTTCCAGGTTTATTACATACTGCTCCCATTTATACATAATACATTTTAGGTAAACTGGCCTACTTCCTGTTTTACCTACCCAACATTCCATCTGCTGCCTCCAGACTTTCACAGAGTATCCCTATGCTGGAAATGTACCCTTTCCTTACCATTGATTCCTGGAATCTCAACTTCCTATAAGGCCCATTTCCTACATGAAGCCTTTCCTGATCCTGGTAGCTGTCAGGAACTGTTCATTTTTGCTTTTTGTATCCTGGCACCTAATTAAATAACAACAAGCATTTATAAATGCTTACTGTATGTCTGACACTGTGCTAACACTGGCACTTATAACCTTAGCATGCTAGGGTTATAAAAAAAGGTAAAAATAGCCCCTTCCCTGAAGGAGCTCATGTTTTTATGGGGGAAATACAGCATGTAAGTGTAATACTCTTAAAATAAATCACTCATTTTAAGCAGAGGGGGAAATATAATCATCCTGAGATCCACTTCTTCCTCTTCTCTTTTGCTTCAGGGAGTTTCAGATGAGAAGCTCTGAGTTCAATCATGATTCCTCACCCCCGGTTAAGAAAATTTCTAATTCCTAAGCAGAAATTCCCTTTTTGGATCACTCCTTAAATTAGTCAATACTTAAGGAAATAAATTCAGGCTATTCACTGGAATGTCAAATACTGAAGCTGAAGCTTAAATACTTTGGTCACGTAATGAGAAGATGGGACTCATTGGAAAAGATCCTGATGTTGGGAAAGATTGAAGGCAAGAGGAAATGGGGATGGCAGAGGATGAAATGGATAGATAGTATTACGGAAACAATGAACATGAACTTGGACAGACTTTAAGGGATAGTAGAGGTACAAAGTACCTGGTGTGCTGTGGTCCATGAGGTCATGATCAATCCAGACATGACTGAACAACAAAAAGGCAGAAGTGAGACTCTCTGCCTGACCTCACATTTATAATTGTCTCTGGTTAACTCCTGGATTCTTTGTGATTGAGGCAAAATTCAGTCTTTTGGAAATATTTGGGTAATGAAATAGCATATTATAATACAGTGTCTGTGGAAAGACAGGCATTAGATAGGGAAGTTTGGGAAATAGCTGACCTTTTTTCTTGGGACTTCTCTCAGCCTGGGGTCTCTGTTTCATCATGCTTGTAGAGCCAGTGAATCTTCTCAGTATCTCCCTTCACCACAGCTGAGTCTTCTCTTTGCTTCTCAAAGTATGCTAGAAATTCCATGTCTTCCATTTATCAAAATTGGTAAGAGTGGCTGCAGTTATTGGACATGACCTGGATGAAGATGCACCAGGGGAAATTGAAGAGCAGCCAGATAAACAGGAAGAGAACCAGCAGCAGAACACAGAGAGTGGTGTCTTGAAAACTTAGAGAAAAAGCAGTATCCAGGAAAACGAGATGATCAGCAGTGCCAAAGGAAAGGCCTCTAGATTTGGTAATTAAGAGATCTTTAGTGATTGTTGGAGAGTAGTTTTAGGACAAAAGGCAGGTTTTCAGAGGGTTCAGAAGAAAACAGAAAAAGAAGTGTGAACAAACAGTTTTAGATGACTTTCTTAAGGAATATGACTAAAAGAGGAATGAAATATAAGCTATAGCTAGCAGGATCAAGTGGAAGTTTCTCATAGGGGAGAATTATTTAAGTATTCATAGTGAACAGGAAAGATGTCGTTAGATATCTTACAGAGTGGGGATGATAGGAGAGATTTGCTAGAGTAGATGGGATGGGATCAATGGTACATGTTGAAGGTTTGCCTTGGCAAGCAATAGGCCCCTTCTTTATGTGAGATGGGGATGAAAGAAGCCATAGTAGTGGAAGATGTCTGATCATTGTGATCTGAGGAGCAAAGAAGAATATCTCAGTGAATGGCCTCCATTTTTTTCAAGGAAGTATGAGGTGAGCTCCTCAGTTGGGGGGGGCGGTAATGAGAGGCTTGAGAAGAGATAAAAAGGTTTAGAATAACCGCTGTGGTTAGTGAGACAGAGAATCAATTAGGCAGGTGTAAGAGGCTTGCCTTGCTACAATGAGAAATCAGTTACGATCATATGTAGCATCAATTTGTAGGGCATGAAATAGTAGAATACCCATGAGAGAGGTATTAAAATCATTCAGCAAGTTGGGAAAGTAACTTGTCAGTCTGTAGATAATAGTAAACAATAATAAGGATTCTTGAGATGTATTGCATGAAATGTATGTATTGCAAGAACTTTGATCATATAAAATTATATCTTGCCAATTTAACTATCTCTTGCCAGTGAGCCAGCAAGAATCAGAAAAACAAGTCTTATTACACTCAGAGTGTGACACACCTCACCAGCGGTTGATGGAAATGTGCATTATTCACAATTAAGCTAGTAGTATTTATACATTACGTGAAACAAAGAAAAAGTATGTGGCTATTCACTATAGTTCAGCTGGTTATACAAAAGAAATAAAATGTTAAGAAAAAAATTGTATATCATTAACTATAGGAGATGGATAAGGACTGCATCTTGGTCAATATAGCTAATTTCACTAAATGAAAAAGAACTACCTTCTAGGTTAGATTTAAAAAGGAAAACATTTCACAGATTTTTTTTTTTGCAATTAGTCTTTTTATACAAGTTAGGAAAGTGAAGAAAGACACAGAAGGGAACCAGCTATTGCTGCTGGTTGTACACAACAAAATGTTGAATATAGGATAAAATGGAGTCAGTTATGTTCTTCCAAGAATTCACTTTCAATATATTGATTGTGGTTGTCAGTTACAGTTTTTTAATGTACATAGTCTCATGATCTCTTTTTTGTTTCATTATAGGTATTGTGGTAAATGGATTAGTAAATATCAGCATATCCACCATTGAAAAGCGCTATCAACTGAGCAGTTTCATGACTGGGCTGGTGTCATCAAGTTATGATATTTCATTTTGTTTGTTATCATTGTTTGTATCGTTTTATGGAGAAAGAGGACACAAGCCAAGATGGCTTGCATTCGCATCCTTTATGATAGGATTGGGGTCACTTGTATTTTCTTTGCCTCACTTTACTAGTGGAAAATATCAATTGGCATCTGAATTTAAAGGTAAGATGTTTCCTAACAACCTGTCGTACTTTAAAAAAAAGTTTAACATTTATAGAAAATCGTCATTGGATCAAGGAGTTAGCCTATGACATAATAAAAAATGTGACTGACCATATCTTTTCATTTAATTATACATCCTTAAGGATGAATAAATGAGTTATTAAGTGTTTATTATGTGCCATGTCACTACATGCTTAAGGGTGTATAATTAGATTAAAATATATGGGCAGTCACATTTGGCTTTTAAAAAAAAATTCTTTGGTATTATTAGCTCAATCATCTTAATTGATTTTTCAAAATTTATACTTTTATGAGTGTTCTGAGATTACTGATTTGTTCATTTTCTAGTTTTTTAATTACATGCTCAATTCTTTTGTTAATATAAATGTTCAGAAGTGTTTTCCCTTACTGCTTTTGCCGCATCCTTTATTGTCTTATTGTTATAATTTTCTTTACTACAATTATTTGTGTTTCCATTATTTATTTTTTCACTTTCCCATTATGTCAGATAACATTATTGAGCCTCAGAAATTGAGGTGTTTCATTAGGACCTCCCTACTTCTACACCTCAGTCATCCTCAGTATGATCTCTCCTCTTCCTTCGTTCCAGTGTCCAGGAAGAGATAGTTCCTCTACTTACTAAAACTAACAACTTTCCATACCTGTGCCCATGACCCTATCTCCTCCAGTCTGTTCCATGAGCTTGTCACTTAAGTCATTCTCCTCCCCTTCACCCCTTCTTTCCTTCTCTCCCTGTTCCCCTCTCCCTTATTTTCTTGCTGCCTACAAAACAGCCCAAATCCTCCCTCTTAAAAAATCTTAATTACTCTGTCCGAGGTTACTCACAATCTGTTAGCTGAATCTTGCCTTTTTTTAGTCCTCATCCTTCTTGACCTCTCTGTCATTTTTGATGCTATTGACTCCTCCTTTGTCCTACCCAATCTGCTCTCTCTATTTTTATTATTCTACTCCCATAATGTTCCTTCTTCTGTATTATCATCTATGTGTTGGTGTCTCTGTATATGGTATACCCTGGGGTACTATCTTAACAGCTTCATCTCTCTATATATACACTCTTTATGACTTTAAAGTCTCTCTGTAGTTCTCATCTGTCGTCCAGTTCTATATTATGCTTTTCGGGTATCTTCATTTGGATTGCCATAGGCATCTTTAAGTCAAAATAGAAGTTGTGATATATCCTTCCCACCCTCACTCCTCCCCGAAGACCTGCCACCTAACCCACCACTTTTCCTGATGTCTCAGTTTTTTGTCAAATGTACTACTATTAAGCACTCAGGTTTACAACCTTGGAGACACCCTTAACTCTTTACTCCTTCATTTCACATATCCAATCAGCTGCAAAATCCTATGGATTCTACTTTGATAACATCTTCAGTATTCATCTGCTCCTCTTCACTCGCACAGAGACACCGACTTGATTCTGTCCCTTTCACCTGGAATATTGTAATGGTCTCCTAGCTGGTCTCCCAGGTCTTTTTCTTCAACTTTTCCTCCACAGTTGCTAAATTGGTATTACTAAAATGTAGATCTGACCATGTCTCCACCTTGCATAAGAACTTCAGTGCTTCTTAGATGAAGTACAATGTCCTTTGTTTGTCATTTAATGCTCCTAAAAATCTAGTATCAACCAATTTTTTCCAGACGGGTGTCAAATTACAAGTCATGAACTTGTTCCAGCACAACTGGACTACTTGCAATTCCCTATACAATGCTGTGGAGGGGCTCCCTGAACTTGTTTTCTTAAGTTGCCCTATTTTCCAGAGATGAGGCACCCCTAAACTAACATAACAGTGAACTGTATTAAACTTTCAATGCCCTTGGGGTGGAGTCAGCCACAAGTCTGGCTCTGGCCAGGTTTGCTGAGACTAATAAACTGTTTATGCAACTGAAACTCTTTCAGATAAGCAGAACATTGGGTCCAAAGCTTACATGCCCTCTTGCTCCGTCTCAATCCTCCTCCCCTACTGCTCCTTTCCTCCTCTTATGCCACTCCCTTTTGGGAGGGGAATGTCCTCCACTCTTCCCATAAGACCACCCCTTCTTGCTGTACTCTATAAATATTCAAGGATTTATCTGTATTGCAGACTCTTTGGTATAAGGATTTCCCATATGTATGTGCCTTTCTCTTGTAATAAATCAAGTTACTACGCATGTCTTGTGGAGTTGTGACTTTTGGTTAACAACGTCATTTCATGTTCTGTCTTTGCACAGCCTACCACACATGTCTGGATTGTGCTTCCTCCTTCTCTCAACCTGCTAAGGTCCTACCTTCCTTCAGAGTATAGATCAGATCTCACATTCTGTATGAAGTCTTTCCTAATCTCAGCAGTTGTTAGTGCCCTCTCCCCTAACACACTGTTTTGAGTTTGGTTTGTATTTATTTGTATATACTTATCTTGGTACATATTGTTTTCACTCTGTAGAGCCTAAGCTTGTATCCTTGGTGCCTAAGCCTGGTGCTTAGCATATAATTGTTTGTTCTTCCTTTCAAAGAGGACTAATGACATCACAGGGTGGTGTCTTGACTCAAGCAAGAATTGGATTTAAGTGAGGCAGAGTTGAACAAAGTTGTCAGCCTCACTCTCTTCCAAAGTCATTGAAGTCCAGTGGCAAGACGAAGGTTAAGATGACTCGGGATGTTAGCATAAATGCTTACTGAACTGAGTTACATTCATATTTTCTTTATGGATTATATTTTTATTTTGCTATTATATACAAAGGAAGACTGTTGTTTTTATTAATTTTTATTAATTGTATTGCCAAACCTTAGCACAATGCCTGCCACTCAGGTGGAATGGCTTGGTAAGTGAGCTGTTTATCCTTGCTGTTTTCAAGATTTCTTTCTTTGACCTGAAAGCTCTGAATCTAAGCTGCCACATTTATGAGTTAATTGAATTTGGTATTTTCTAATGGAATCTGTGGATTTTATTAAGCTATATTTTTGTCCTCTAGTTCTGATACTTACAGGAAAAATCTATATGATTTTCCTCAATCATTCAGGATTTTGTTTCACTATTTTTTGGTGAAGTATTTACATTTTGTTTCCCCTCTTAGAATATGTTACTCAAGGGAAGGGGGCTGCTTCTGCTTTTTCTTTGTAACCCCAGCAGTGCTTAGCAAGTAATAAGGGTTTAATAAATACTTGTTGACTTTAGTGTTTTTAAGAGCTCTGAGTAAAATTTTCTCTCTCTCTCTCTCTCTCTCTCTCGCTTTCTCACACACACACACACACACATTCGTGTGGTTACTTCATTCACTTTTCTAGAGATCTGTTTGTAGTTATTGCATGTATTTCTTTTCTGGAGTTTTTTTTAGGTTCTTTTACTCCATGGTATTTCTTTTTGTATTAGGAGATCTTTTTTGCTTATTCATTTTTTGTTCAGTATGCTAATTTTTCTGTGGGCCTTTCTTCCACTTTCTCTATTTGGTGTATTTCTTGCTGTTTACTGGTAATGAAGAGAGACTGGGCTTCTACTTCTTAGTCATTTTACCAAAAATCATCAATGAACATTTAAAAAGAGAAACAATTATTATATCCCTAAGTGATACTTCCTAATAAATAAAAAGAACCCACCGGCCACCACCTGAAAGAAATTACAACCTGGGAATGGAAAAATGTTGGCCAAAATGCAGAGCTTCCAGAACAAAGAAAAATATTGCAGGCAGCAAGAAAGACGACCAAGGAATTATAGGGTCACCAAAATGAGTGTGCAACCAGGTCATGTCTCCCTGTTCATTGACTGAAGGAAGCTTGCTCCCTCATCTACTTATATTAAGACAGGCCAGATATAAAATCTTAATATCTAATGCGTTTTAGATAATGTCCTTGACAATTGGTCATCCAGACTTTGCTTGAATACTTGGAATGATAGAGAGTTTTCAGTCTCAAGTAGGCAACTCATTATATTTTTGGACTGTGCTAGTTATGATTTCTCTCTTATGTATACCCAAAATCTGAAGCAAGAAATTAAAAATTAAAAACCATGCAGAAAAAGTATCATGATTCTTAATAAATGTATAGAGAACTAACTTAACATGTCCAAAACAGAACACATTGTTCTCTAAACCTGCCCCTTTTCCTAAGTTTCCTATTTCTGTAAAGGCTACCACTATCCTTCCGTTTACCCATGTTCACAACCTTGAAGTCAGCCTCCACTGTTCACTCTCCCCATCTCCTTCCCACACTGTATCTAATCTGCCAAGGTTTGTCAGTTATATGTCTTTGTCATCTCTCATATCTGGTCTCTTCTCTCTACACAGATGGCTGCTGTGCGAGTTCATCACTCCACCACTTCTTGCCTGAACTACTGTAATGATGTCCCTCTTTCTAGCCTTTCTTTTCTCCAATACATCCTCCACCCAGCTGGCAAAAAATATTTTCTGAAGTACAGGTCTGACTTTGTTCTTACCCTGTCGGAGAAGTGTCAGTGGTTTTCTGTTACTTCTAGAGTAAAATGTGAACTCTTCTGTACTTCATTTAAAGTTCTCACGCTCTGGTTCCAACATATCTTCTCAACTGATCTCACAGTACTTCCCCTTACATACTATTAAGTTCCAGACAAAATGGCCTACTGGCTGTTTCCTTTAAAAGATACTCTGCCTCCTTTCTCTGTGTCTTTGCGTAAACCATCCTCTAAATCTGGAATGTGCTCTGTCTTCCCTTCCTTTTGGAATTCCTAGTTCTATTTAATGTCCAGTTTAAGTTCTACCTCCTATGCAAGAAATTTTTTTTTTGATTCTGCCAATTGTTAGCATTCCCTTTCTTTCAGATTATCTTGTATAAATTTTGTAGTTACTTATATATGTATATGCTATATGTTGTTTCCCTCTAGTAGTATGTAAATTTTTTGAGGGAAAAGACTCTCCTCATTTTTTTCGTCTTTCCCTCCCCATTACCTAAGTATAGTGTCTGGCACATTGTAAGTATTTAATAAGTATTCATTGACTTGAACTAAGGAGTGAAAAGAGATCTATTGTAATCAAGATCATCATGGTGGAACACTTTTCTTCCTTGGCAAAACTTACCTTTTTAAAGATTTTTGTGGGTCGGGATGCCTAATACCAAGCTCAAATAATTTATGTAGGTAGTAATAACAGTTTAGGGGTAGCTAGGTGAGAGAGTGGATAGAGTGCTGGGCCTGGAATCAGGAATACTCATCTTCCTAAGTTCAGATCTAGCCACTTATTAGCTAAGTGACCCTAGGCAAGTCACTCAACCCTGTTTGCCTCTGTTTCCTCATCTGTAAAATGAGCTGGAAAAGAAAATGGCAAACCACTCGAGTACCTTCCCCCTAAAAAAAAAAAACCCTAAATGAGGTCACAGCAGGCCCCCAGATATTTTATAGTAGCAAATTTTTTTTAAAAAATCATAGTATTTTGTTTAGACTAAACATTGTGCCACTGCTTTGTCAAATCAAATATAAATTACCCGAATCTAATGCCAAAAACAATCATTAAGAAATAGTTGAAATAGTTAAATAACATTGTCATTTTTGGTAAAGAAAATGCTGTATGTAGTGCATTTAATTTTTGAAACAATTAGAAAAAAAATTTTTTATCTCTTTTTTTTAAAGATACCTGCCCAGAAACAAGAATCAACAGCACTTGTCAACACTACATAACATCTTCGCTTTCAAACTACCTATATGTCTTCATACTTGGACAGATGCTACTGGGAGTTGGAGGAACACCTCTCTATACTTTGGGAACAGCCTTTATTCATGACAGCGTTCCCACACACTTGTCCTCTCTCTATATAGGTGAATTATTTTACTAATATAGTTTAGCCATATTGACTTCTTCTCGAACTTTTGTATACTTGGATATAATCATTTAAATCAATTTAAATCTAATTGTTTACTGATACTAATGTTGAAGACATTCTCCATAAGATGAACAAATTATTTTGCTGTATTGACTTGCCTGCTTGTTTAGGACTTGAAAAATGAATTCTTATGGTCACTTTTAGATTATGAGCCTTGCAGGTCTTGGATTTCATTGTGGTAAGTAGTAGTAACTATGCTGATATGAATTCAGTTGTATTTGAAGTCCTTCTGGCCAGCAGCACTTCAGAAGCCACCTGAGGTGTGGTCCTTGAGTAGGAATACTTCTAAAGGCTGCTAAAATATATGGTAAATGAGAGATTCTCAGGTTTCCCCAACGTGCTTTCTGCATTTCATTTTTTTTCTAATTTGTGATAGCTCTAGTTTTTTGTTTTGTTTTCTTTTGTTTTAATGTCAGGACCTTTAAACGTCTAACTCTAACCGGACTCTTATGCTATTTGGATTGGTTGTACAAAGCATCCCTTTGGATTCATTAAGAATTAATCTATATTGGTCAGAGGGAGAACAGAGAAGTGAAATGGAATCAGACTTTAAAATTGTAGGCCTCAGTGAAAGCAGGCAAAGACACATTGTACTATGTAAGTTGACATAGTACTATCTTTCCTAACACAAGATTGGTTTCCTTGATATTCTTTTATGTCCAGATGAAGTCTAATTTCAACAGATTTGGATATGTGAAGTTGTGGTAGATTTATTATTTTGGGGGGTATTTAAACAGTGTAAACTATTTTTTCTTTATTTATTTGAGACTGTTAGAAGCAAAGTATTACTGATGCCACTGAACAAAATTATGGTGTGCATGAGTCAAGTATCAAATAAGTCAAAATTCATATGAAGGTTTTATTGTGATGTTTAAAAAGTTCAAGAGACATGATTTCTGGGTAATTAATCATTTTATTGATAATGCTAGCATTTTATTAATAAAAGGGTCAGTGACACTCTCGAATGCCAAAGGCTAGTCATGGTAACGGGCTCACAGTTTATATGCCCTTGGAGGAGTGGGTGTTTGGTGTTTCTGAGGGTGGTAACCCACTGTGATTGGTTAGCAAGTAATGAAAGAAAATTAATATTACAATGAGAGTTGGACCTATTCTAATGAGGGGCAAGGGGATGTAACTTTAATAATGTTATTTTACTTCCAAATCACCCTCAGCCTTGAGGAAATTTAGACTGAAAATCTACATTGCCCACCGAAGCTTGAGCAGAAGACAATAGGTTGGGTGTTTCACCTTGGATTAAATTTCTTCTTTCTTAAATTTCTAAGGTTCAGTGGACTAACAATACCTAGAATGAGGAGAAAGTTAATCCTATTGCTATCATCAGTCCTGTCCTTCAGAGGCTGAGCTTTGAAATGAGGACTTTAGAAAAAGGGGAAACTGGCTGTCCCAAATTATTGATTATTAATAATCATTTTTCTAATCACAATGTAAGGTACTATGAAGTATGTAATTATTATATATACCATATTCCTAATTATATTAGCTTTAACTAATGCTAAAATTAGGTAGTTGAAACTACAATTATATAAACCAACCTTTGCCATAGGGAAGACTTGAGAAAGTACATTTCTCTCTTTCATTTACAGAAGCGGGTGGCTATTGGTATGGAATAATTACATGTACTGTCAGATTAATTTCATATTCACTTAATATGTTGATTGATTTTACTGAACTGATTTTTTTCTTGTTTTAATTTTTTATAAAAAAATAATTGCTGAGAATGGGTGGAGGAAAGAATATATTTGGAAATGAAGATGATAGTAAAAAACAAGAGCTACTAATGATTTTTTAAAAATATAAAATCAATTTAAATAAATTATATTCCTCATAAACAAGTACAAGTAGATGAGAGTTTAGATTCTTATTCTTGCTTAAATGTAAAGAAAAATTACAATATCGTATTTCAGAAAGTAGCAGATTATTATAGTTCCACATATGAAGATGTTAAAAATATTTATTTTTTAATGAGATCAGTAATAATGAATTTTATATATTAAATCATACTAATTTCTCTTTCGATTGGATAATGAGTTCTTTAAATCCTATGAAGTGTTAACCAAAAGACAGTATCACAAGTCCGTGAGAGATATGTTCGTAACTGGATTTATTACAAGAGAAAGGCAAATGCTGTGTGGGAACTCCTTATACTGAGAAGCCTAGCGGTACAGGGAAAGCCTTGGTTTTTAAGTTGCAGGGAAAATTGACTACTCCCCTCTTGAAAGGGAGGAGAATGAATAAGTAAGCTGGCAAAAGCAATATTCTTTTCCCTTGGGAACTGCTAGACTATGAAGATATGATTGTCTGCTTATCTACACAGGTCCCAGCTGCACAAGCATTTTCTTAGCCTAGTGCAGACTGACTGGCACCTGTCTTGACTCCCAGTGCTACACAGGGAGTCCAAGTTGGGGTGCACACAACAAATTATGTCAGTGCAGGGGGGCTTCATCCTTGACATGTGTCAGGGCCTCTTGCATACTTGAGGTCCAGTGTTTCTGGAAAACACGGGAACTCAAAAAGACAAGTTCAGGGTACCCTTGAACAGAACTTAAGTATTTTCCATCATTTAATAGTTACATGTAAGAAAAATTATTTATATTACTTTCTATTCTTAATCTCAGGAGTATGTAAATAGCCTCCATGTTCATTTGTGTCATTGCTTCTAAAAGTCACATTAGAAAGTAGTTAATCATTACTGAGCTTAATGTTTGAAAATTATAGTATGTATTGATGTTCAAAATTTTCTAGGAATTGGCTATGCTATGTCTGTCCTTGGCCCTGCTATTGGCTATGTATTAGGAGGACAACTTTTAACCATCTATATTGATACCAATATAGAAGAAGAGTAAGTCATTCTTTTTTTCTGTATTCTCTCTTATTTTTAATTGTGTAAAATGTTGCTTATAGATGCTGCACTTGATTTGTATTTTTTAAAATGGATGTTTTTCTTTCTTAACATTTCTAATTCTTCAGAAAGAATATGTAAATGAAGTTGTATTTTCCCATTGTATTAATTATATTACTATGTAATTGTATGTGATGAAGGCTGCAATGCCATTTTTAACAAACTACCAAATATCAATTTAATGCTGTCACTGATTTTATTAGTGTTATGCTATTTATGGTGTACAGTGTCTTTTTAAGTGAGGCAAGTGTCATAGTAATTTGAATATAACAAGATTCATTTTTTATGAAAAAACATCATCCACAGAACCTAGAGCTTCCATATACTTACTTACCTTTCTCTTCCTAACTTCCAGCCCAGAAGCTAAAGAAATCACTAATATAGCACCTTAAGTAAATGTTCAGGGTAATTGATAATCCTCATTGTGTCATCACTTACTACCAAGTAAAGGTGGACTTTCAGATTGCTTTGCCATAGACAAAACAATCTAATACCTAAGACTCATCTTCATCAGTAGTGTTGCAGTGAAAAAAAAAAAAGATAAAATAGCCCTGATGACAACCTGTATTACATAATGCCAGTAGGATTTAAAATAGAAACTACTCTGCAACAGACATACACGAGATAACCCTGCCCTAATGCCTCTGTCCCTGGGTATGGTACATGAAGCTCACATAAGGAATATTAGAAGCTTAGATAACCCATAGCTTCAGAGGCTGCATCCCTGGAATCCCATAGTTTTGTCAGCCAATCACAACACAAATAGTATAGATTCATCATTAGGACATTAGATAACCTAGTAGCAAAAATATTTTAGCAGCTTTCATCTTGGCCTGACTTCCCCATGTCCATTTTGCTGGTAGTCATTCCTCTGCTTGCTCCTTCTATTCTTTGTCCTTTTAATATCCATTCTATTCTAGGCAATTTTGCCTATATTCTTTAACTGTTTTATAAATACTTCTTTACTTCCTTTATCTCTTGGTTCTGACAGAATCTTGATTGTCTCCTGATGATATTCTCTTTCCCTCTTTAATGAAAGATGCTGCTTCTTCTGCTCAAGGTGAGATACTAATTGTTTTCCACTGCCTTTTCCTGATCAGGCTTTCTTTCTACTATCATCATTTAATAGCTGCTCATCAAATCTCCCCCCACCCACCCATGTTCTGTCCTTGGTATTCTTTTCTTTTAATGCTCTTTGCATTGATTTAATTTAATACTATGACTGAATTCTAAGTATCTGAGGTTCTCTTGGCCTGTCTCCCACAGTGTTCTTCCATGCTGGCATTAGGGCATCAACACTGTCCAGCCAGATGAACAAAGATCACAGATCTGTTGCACCCTTAGAGATCATGGCAATCCTGAGAATCCTGACTTTGCTTTAGAAATACCAATTTGGCAGCAGTATCAAGAATGGGTTGGCGTGGAGAAAGACTGGGAGACCAATTGGGAGGCTATTGCAGTGGTATAGGTGAGATGTAATAAGAGCTTCAAACTAGGGTGATGTGTGAGTAGAGAGAAGGGAGCATATGCAACAGATGTTGTGAAAATAGAATTGACAAGATTTGGCAGCTAATTTGGATATGAACAAGAATTAAGAATGACTCAGTTTGTAAACTAAGGTGATTGGGAAGGATGGTAGTTCCTCTGACAGAAATAATTAAGTTTGGAAGAGGGGTGAGTTTTGGGTCAGCGGTGGACATAAGGATTTGTGGTTTTGGACTTGTTGAATTTATGGTGCCTTCAGACATCCGTGTGCAGATGCAGTGGTAATAAGTTAATGCGTCTGGGAGTGAGGAAAGAATTTGAAACCCACAGGAACTGTTGAAATCACTGAGAATGTAGAGAGAAAAAAGAAGTGCCAGGGTGTAGCCCTGGCATACGGCCACTCATTGAGATCATCAAAGGGCTTCTCTTTTCTGTTAGATAAATTACTTAATCCAGCTCCCTGTCTACTCCCAGTTTTCCTAGAATGTAGGTTATCTTAACTAGGGTTGACACAGAGGTCCATGCCTAAGTTTTAAAACCCAGTTCACACTGTGATTGTAGATATATTTCAAAGGGGAAAAGAGATATACAGTGATAGCTTGAGGAGTGATAGAGGCAAGTGAAAGGTTTATTTGTGGGGAGGGGTTAGGATGGTGGGACTTTGGCATGTTTACGGGCAACAGGGCAGGATCTTGGAGAGAGGAAGGGCAGTTTCTGCTACTTCTTTGCTTGGAGAACGGCTGGCATGAACCCATCCTCCCATCCCTTTGCCTCCCCACTCCCCAACACATGAAAACTTACATATGTTTGTTTGCATGCACGTGTGCATACATACACACACCTAACTCATAAATGTCATCCTTGCCACTGATTGTTACATTCATACTCAGGATGGCTTATTGGATTCTCCATAAAAACTCTTCAATGTGGAGACTACCAGCAGCTCAGAATTGTGCCACTGAGGTATTTATATGTCAAAATACTGGTATTTCCCCAGTCTCTCTGGTCCTCTCCAGGTTAGAGTTGCCTGTTTCTGCTTAACCCTAAAACCCACTGCTCGTGGAATCAGTTCTAAGGACACTCATATGTCAATTTTCTCTCATACTCCTAACTACAGATTTAACTCTGAATGTCCATATTTGGATAATCTTCTTCATTCTAGATGCAGAATAGGCAATGCTTAGGTGTTCCCCCTTCCTCATGTTGGTTCTTTCATGTTGGTTTCCTTTTTCTTTTTCTGCATGTAGTCTAATGCTCTGTTCTCTCTCTCCCTCTCCCCCTCTCCCTCTCTGTCTCTCTGTCTCTCTGTCTCTCTGTCTCTCTGTCTCTCCCTCTCTCCCTCTCTCCCCCCCTTCTCCCCTTGTCTTCCCTCCCCATTGTACTTCATTCGTATGTGTGCTCTATCTTAAAACATATGCGAATCTTTCACTAATTCCATTATCCATCACAAACACATTGAAGAACCAGATCTCACCATTATTCTAAACCACAGTTAGTCACCAATAATAGGAAAATGTTATTAAAGTTCTTTAGTGGCCTGGAGAATTGGGTACGTTGGTAATTAATAATTACAGGCAGGTGAGTAAACACAGACTCTTCCTCATACTGAGGAACTTCCTCATACTTCCTCATACTCATACATCCCCTGTGATTTTTAACTTTGACAATTGATAGAGAAACAATGGTAGACTGAATTGGTGGCAGTACCATTGTAGCAGACATGCTGTTGGGGTTGCCATAGTCGTTTGTATTCTGCAGCCATTCACTCAGCCTTCACACTATTTATATCTTCTATGGTAATTGTAGCAGGGAGTAGAGATTAGACAGTATTAAGTTCCATAATGTTGGTCATGTTTGTCCCTGATTACTTGGGCCTAATGACCTGACACAAGCATGCCTGAGAGAATCAGATAGAATTCAGAAATTATTAAGCATTTACATCACTGACCTTGTAACATGCATTCATCATTTCCTAAATTTTTTTTTCTATATTCATAGCAGATCCCTACACAATAAAATCTAGCCCTGAAAACGAAACAAGATTTTTCCAGGAGGGCACACAACACAGGAAACCAGTAGCACTAGATCCCAAAGTCACAATGTTCTACAGTGAAGAGGACTTATCTTATATTTCCTACTTCTAAGCCAATTACTTCTGCTGCTTTAATATAACAGACCAATCTACAGATATCTTCTCAGTGGTTCTACTTCTAACTGTATTTATCTGCTACCTCAGGAAGCCTCAGAATGTAAGAAGGGGCATTGAGAGCCACTACATACTTGCCAGCACCATAGACTAACTTCTGTGGGATATTTAGTGTAGTAACTTTGTGTTCCTATGTCACCTCCCAACCCCTCACCTGAGCCCCTTGCCTTTTATTTTTCTGAGACAATTGAGGCTATTCAACATGAACTCCCTCTTCTCCCATTCTCTTCATGTTAAAACCCCTTGACATCATTTTCCACTGTCTCCTATCTACTAATCTGAAAAGGAGGTGACCCTTCAACTTGTTAAGGTCAACTCCTCTACGTGTGTACTTAATCGTTTTCTGGCATAACTTTTCTCTGAAACTGTTCTGCTCATCATTTCTTATAGAATAACGGTATTCCATCGCAATAATGTAACATAGTTTGTTCAGCCACTCGCCACCTTGATGGACATCCCCTCAATTTCCAGTTCTTTGCCACCACAAAATAGCTGCTGTAAATAATTTGTACAAATATACCCTTTCCCCTTTTCTTTGGTCTCTTTGGGATACAGGCCTAGTAGTGATATTTCTGGGTTTGCCCTTTGGACATAGTTCCAAATTACTCTCCAGAATGGTTGGATCAGTTCAGAACTCTGTCAGAACTCTCTCTGTCAGAAGTAAGTAGCTTTTTTACTGGTCTTCTGGAATACTGGTTGATTATCATATTGATTAGAGTTCTTAAGCCTTTCAAAGTTTTTTGTCTTTACAATGTTGTTACTATACAAGCTGTTCTCCTGGTTCTGCTCACTTTCACTCTGCATCACTTCACAGAGTCTTCCCAGATTTCCCTGAACCATCTTCTTTTGCCATTTCTTGTGATGCAATGATGCTCTATTACAGTTCAGTCCCAAATGTTTTACATCCCTTCCAGCACTTGTCATCTTCCTTTTCTATCATGTTAGCCAGCCTCATAGGTATGAGATGGTATTACAGTTGTTTTAATTTGCATTTCTCTAATCAGTGTGATTTAGAGCATTCTTTCATGTGCTTATTTATAATTTTGATATCTTCTTTTGAAAATTACTTGTTCATATTTTTTGATGATATCAACTGGGAAATGGCAAATTTTTATAAATTTGGCTCAGTTCCTACGTATGTTTGAGAAATTAGGCCTTTATCAGACAAATTTGCTGCATTTCCCCCCTTGGTTTCCTGTTTTTCTTCTCATTTGACTGCATTAGGTTTTGTGTGTGTGTGTGTGTGTGT